AAAGTTTCATCGGAAAGAAATTATACGGGAAATTAACTAACGAATGGAGGCGTAACAAATTTGTGTCAGAAAGTGGGACAAAAAAAAAAAAAGAATGGAAACGAGAAGCGGCAAATCAAACTACAGCTTAGCAGATTTGATGGCAGCAATACAAGAACAGCAAAAGAAACAAGAAGAATGAGAAAATAAACAAGAAGAAAGATTACAACAGTGGCAAGAAAACCTTCAACAATGGCAGCTCAAACAGCACAATAAACAAGAGAGATTACAGCAGTTGTTGGAGGAAAAAGAAAAGAAACAAGAAGAGAGAGTATAGCAGTGGTTGGATGAGAAAGAAAATAAACAAGAAGAGAAATTACAGCAGTTGTTGGAGGAAAAAGAAAAGAAACAAGAAGTATGAGAAAAGAAACAAGAAGAGAGTTTACAGCAGTGGGAACTGGAACAAGAAAGGAAACAGGAAGAAAGTATCCAACAGTTGCAGGAAAGTCAGCAGCAACTACAGGAAAGTCAACAACAGTGGCAAAAAGTACAAATGGAAAACATTAGTAAATTTCAAAGCGAATTAAATACATTAAAGGATGATTTATTGTCTTTTACACAAGGAGGCGTAACAATATTATATATATAATATGTATTCTTGCACACTGATTTTTAATTAAAATGGGCAACTGTCAAGAATTATGGGTTTTTATAAACAAAAGTCTGTAGTCAGACAATCCTCTGGAGAATGTTGTATGATTGTCTGACTACTAGTGATAATCATCCAAAAAATGACATATGATTGTCTGACTATGTATAATAACCCTCCAGAGAATGCTGTTTGACTGTCTTACTACATGTGATAATCATCCAAAGAATTTTGGAGACATCCATTAAACAGGTGTAGATATTAAAATGCGAGTACCCTTGTTTTAAGAAAGGAATCCATCTCAGTATTTTTGATTTTGATTTTTTACCTGTTAAAAGTTAATATTCTGTCATTGTTTGGTAATATTAGAGGATTTAAAAAGATTATTTTCTTTTAAAAGAGCATATCTCAAGATAGGATATCAGAGGAACTAGCAAAACATCAGGATGAAAAGGACAAATATGAAAACACTGCCAAGGTGAGATTTTTAACTTGGAACACTAAATGATAATTTTTAGACTAAAAAAAATGGAGTTTTAATTTTTTGACAGTTTCATGTAAAAATGTTTTTTGATTGCATACAATATCTTTAGTATTAGTAATTAGATATATAGAGAAAAATTTGAGAAACAAAAAGTTATTATGTTAATGATTTGAAAAAATTAATAGATTAGAGTTTTGTGCAAGTATTCATCAATTAAAGGTAATTACATTTGGTGCATCATATTTTAAGGTTTTTAGTTTATAAAAATTGTCAGCACACTAAGTTTTGGTTATTCCTTAACACTCAATATGGATCACAGGACCATTTTTACTTGTATATAGTTTTAATACTATAACGTTTAATACAGTGTGTGTATCTTCACAAAATTTGGCAGACTTTTAGTACACATTACAAGTATTTTGTACACAAAAAATCAGTTTTTTTCAATGAAGTATTTTTACTAAAGAGTTGTTTGTGACTATATTGAATATTTGTTTTGAATAGTCCGTGTGCAAAGTAATTTTCATGTTAAGATTTAAAATACTTTTCTTCACCTCAAAAATCTCCTAAATACATTTCAAACGTTTTTTATCAGTAAAACTTTATATTTTATCTGTTATATTCTCTACCCTATCTCTCTCTATATGGGATCGGTCAACTTGACCGACCTCATAATCACCAAAAAAAATTTAAATAAATCTAAATTACCCTTTTATTCTTACTAGAGTGACTTCTAATTGTAACATGAAACTACATTCATTTATCCTAAGTAGCTTTAAACTCATAACAGTATACATCTATTGATAATTAAATTTTATTGTTTTATTGCCCTTGGAACCATGTCTAACTACCAGTCATGCCATTATAAGTTGTAAATCACTTGGGGAATGTGCAGCTCACATTACACTATCGAATTACCTTACCCACGAGCTACTCCGAGCTGCTTGCATGCATACCTAGTGAAATATTTTTTATTATGTTATTATTATTTATTTTACCTAATTTAACCTTAACTAACCTAAAGAGATCTCTATTTTTACATTTTAGTTACTGTTATAATAATGAATAAAGAATAAACATGAAAAACAAGAAATAAAGTACTTACCCAAGTATTATTATTATTTTTTATTTGCTGTGGACTATTGATGACTCTAAATGCTACTTTTTATACAAATGGTAGTTGTGCATTAAATAATTCTTATTTAATTAAATAAAGCATCAAAGAACATAAAATAATAATATGCAAAAAACAGACAATTTCCTCTAACAATCATAATTTTTTCTGGCTTTCTAACTATGCGACAAGAGCCATTACAATTTCATCCAAGCTAGTCGTTATTTTCCCATGGGAATGAAGCCTGTACTACTAATGAAATTGACAATTATCTGTTCAGAAAACAACATAATACGGTACATCATTTAATAGATGAAAACCTTGGCTTTCTATTGGTTATAGGTAAAGTATAATTAAATGTAAGAGAGAACTATTAACAAATCCTGAAAGAGAGGGTGTGGCAGGAGGGGCCTGATTTTCTATTTGATAGCTCTGTAACCAAACAAAATTGAAGGCTATCAAAATTATGGTTTTTCTGAGCAATAATGATTTTATAGTGAGTAATTTACATTTAATTTTGTAGTTATTGGAGTGGTGGTGAATAAAATGGAGAAGATATCTAGAGAAAGTGTTGCATGTGTCACACTTGGGGAAATTCAGAATTTTTTAGAATATTGCCTTATAGAATTAAGAACTTAAAACTTGTACTATTAAAATATGGATTATTAGCTAAGATTTTATGCTATACTAATTGGTATAACAGAAACAAAAAGTTTAATAAAATTTTGAATATAAGACACTAAAACCTTTTGTCATGTGCAGTAAAGGATACCCATGGGCAATAGGGTAAACAACTGTGAACAACAAAAAGAGAGATAATGTATGTAGTAAAACAGAGAGAAACATTGCACAATTTTAATATAGACAGTTGTGTTGCTGTTCGTGTTAAGATGGAGTGTTCTTCAGTTTTATATCAGATATCAGCAGTATGTTATTAGTTTTATTGTACAAAGGGAATTTTTGTATTTCTCTGAAGAATAAGTAGTTGTTTTATCTCAGGAATCTTTGAGGAATGTGCTTCAAGAGAAATTGGAAGCTGTGCGAAGAGCTCAGGACCTTGAGGTATCGGATGAATTTTTTATTTCTAGTTACATTAAATTGCTTAATGATAGATTTTTAAAGTTCCCAAGACCTATAGGTGTTATAATATGATGTGAGGTAGTTTGATTGGAAAGGCTTTTTTTTCATGGGGGATTCAAATTTTCAAAACTTTTCTTGAATAATTTCACTTAAATTTCCAACAAATCTATGTATTTTTATTCAATGGAAAGCTAAGTTCTCAGAATTTGATTTTTTAAATTATGGCCTAATTAATATACTTCATAATTTCTTATTAATATCTAATTAATTTCAAGTTATTTTGAGAAGATAGTGATTAACTTGCATGGTTTGTGCAATTATACATAAGATGTTGTTAATGCTAGGCTAGGCTTATGTTTGTTTCCCTTGCTGTTGTAGCAGCAATTCGCAATCTTGATCTCCACTTCTTTATGCTGAAAGTGCAATCCTCTATTATTTACATTGGGAACTTGTAAAACAAATGATATTAAATAGTAATAATAATAAATAATTAAATAAAGTATTAATTATTTAATTGATAAGTAACAAAATAACGTATATACCAAAAATACAGTAATAGGTTGATCGTGACTGGTTACCTCTATATTGTTAGGGGTCATAATTAGGTATTATGACATACTACCGGGACTGCTCACTGACAAAGATGCTGTGAAAGGACTTCAGAATTGAAGAGGGGAGAGACCATGTTTTAGCCAGTGCTAAAAATCCCTCTTACATATAACCATAAATTGCACATGTGAATGGAAGCTCAAACATTTGCATATTATTTAGGTCCTTTAACATTCAATAATGACAAAAATACAATTTCTTAATAAAACTTGTGTTAAGTATGGTGGTTTGAGAAAATACTCTAAAATTCTTCTATGATAAAGATTTTAACTTTAATTTCTACACTGAATTTCATAATTTTCAACACACTTTAGAACAAAAAAACCTGCAAATGTAATATTGTACTTTGTTTAGAAAAATTTGTAAGTGTATGATGTTTTTTGTATATGTAAATATATGTTGAAAAAAAGGAAATCACAGTCTTGAAAGGCCTCAAAATGTGAGATACCTAAGAAAGGTGAGTTTCATGTCACAGTATAACACATAAGGTGGCAAAGCATAAAGCCTATGTAGGCTAGAAAATGTGTCAAGGCATCACATTCAACTAATAAGTAGTTTATCTTTCAATCCTCTCAGTCACTTCAGTGTGAGTATATAATCAAGGATGTATAAGAGAAAAATTTTAGAGATATCTTCTCTATCATAAATCACTACTGTACAGGATGTTCTAAATTCAAAACATCTCGCTAGCTCGGGAAGACCTTAGGAAATCAAATATCTCTAGTTCAAACGTTTAATGCATTGTGAGAACTCATGTTAGCAGTATAATAGGATGTATCATTATATTTTTAGGTTTTTGAGTTTTATGCTAAGTTTGTAAAATTTTTTACATTAATAGATTTGAATGTGTGAATATCTTTCAGAAGAAAATGGTACTTATATAAGAGCTGTGATTTACTATGTTAATCTGCTGGAAAATACATAGTTGAATAAACTTTTGTTTGATTGTCTCTTTGTGCCTATAATATATGAATAATGTTTTCAAAACAATGTAAAAAAAATTCAGTGACATAAGCTTATTTGAAACAGATTTGTGGCAGGAGTTGAAGAGAAACCTAATCCTCTGCATGATATGCTGAAAACTGTAAACTTCCTTTTTACTCAGAGTTCTCTGGCTGGAACTGAAGTGGAATGTAATCACCTACGAGATGTATATGAAAACACCCAGCAGGAGTTGCTGCTTCTTGCAGCCAAGAATGATGAACACCTTAAAGAGATTGAAGAACTCACAAAGAGCTTGAAGGTAGTAAAGAAAGTTCCAATTTCAAGATTTTAAGACTTGTTATTTATTTAAAAAGTCATTTTATTAATATCTCGGTAATTGCTATATGGTTCTCTGTCCATTAAGCCATTCCTAGCTTGTTACATTTTTGGTAGTAGATGGTTATTCAAAATATCTTAACTCTTCACTTTGTTAACCAACAATAACCTGGACTTACTGAACTGTATCATATGAAATGTGTTACAAACAGGTCACAGATAGGCCCAGTGGGTAGAATACAAGTACATCCAAATGCCATTACTAGAGTAATGACACATTCCAGTAACATCATAAAAATAATTATACACCTAATTTCATATTTATCTACAATCATTAGATTAATTATTTTCCAAATATCATTACTATGTTAACTACACATCTAAGTACTATCACCAGGGTAATACTATTTTCCAAAAGCACCATTAGGGCTAACAGTGAAAAGGAAATATGAATAAAGAAATGGATATTTGTTAATAAACTTAAACTGAAGTTGAATGAGCAAAACTGTGTGGTTTGTTTATTGTTGAATATTTTGGTGTTAGCAGTGTGTTAAGTTGAAATGGGCCAGATGCTAGCATCAAAAACAGACTGGATGTTTATGTTAAAGGCAGACTAGACTAGCATCAGAGGTATGCCAAAAGTTAGCTGAGGACAGGCTAACATCAAGAGCATCAAAGAAGCTTAAGGTAGAAGCTAGCTTCAAGGGCAGACTAGAAACTAAAGTCTAGAGTAGGGTAGAAACAAGTCTCAAGGGTAAGTCAAAAGCTTGTGTCAAGGACAAGATAGAAACAAGTGTTAAGTGTAGGCTAGAAACTAATTACAAGGACAGACTAGAAGATCGTCTTCTATTATTGTTCTGTCACTCAATAAATTCATACTTGATTAATACGATAATCCATGTTTCATTATGACCTTTCTACTTACAGGAATCAGAAGAGAAAGAAGAAGAACTTTCGAATAAAGCAACAGAAGAAAAGCAAGCTTTAGAAAACCAGCTGGAAGAAATGAAGAAGCAAGAGAAGCTTTTAGCAGCACAAGTAAGAGTTGTAAACATTTCACATACGTATGATGTTCAATTGTATTCTACATACATAACAGAGGAAATTGTGTATTTGTATACGTTTACATTATGTATTGTTTATTTTCGAATGTCATTACTCTTTGTTTTTATATAGAAAGTTGGTATGTTCATTAATTTTAATATTAAATAAGCATTTAAAAGAACTTTAGCTTATTATTATATTTCCATTTCATCCTCTTGCTAGAGACAGGTCAAGGTGTATGTTGTGACTTTTTAGGGAGTTACATTCAAAATTTAATTAAACTACTTTATTATCCTTGTATATGAATAAACCTGACATCAAAACATGGTTAATTAATCAAATTTTACTGCTGCATAAGTTTTAAGCTCTTAATTTTATCTATATAAAGAATATGTTTGCGTATATCTGTCCAGAACTTTTCTTGCAAATTTCTTGACCAAATGCTACAAATCTTGTATCATTAGAAAGGTCTTTGTACGAGGAGCGTGGATTGCATATTGGCTTTTCCATTCAGAATAATCTTGTCTGTTCTTTTGCTTAGTCAAACTTTTTAATGCAGGGAAGATAGGCTTTATCAAGATGCAATAAATATATCTATATAGATAATACACTTGCATTTGTTTGTCCAGAACCTTTCTCACAAATTTCTGGAACAAATGCTACAAATCTCCTATATGTAGACAGGCCTTTGTCCAAGAAGTATGGATTACATATTGGTTTTTCCATTCAGATTCACCTTACTCGTTTTTTGCTTCTTAATCCAATAATTATGTTACACGATGGCACAATGTCGTTGTCATCACGTGATGACTGGCTTTGATTTCAACTGTAGTTTTTTATTTGCAAAGTATTTCACACAAACAACACTTAACCTGTATGTAGTTTCCTAAAAAGAAATGAACATTACACTAACTATAATTTCTATGGGCTTTCTCAACTTATTTAGGTCTAAAATATGCTTCCACAGTTCATTCAAAAAATATGCTTATCACTTTGTGAACACACATTTGGATGTTCCTGCATATTCAGCTAAGTCTACCTTTATTACAACTTTACATTTACTTTACTTTAGCTTTGGTTCATTTCATAGACTATTATAAACACCTTTTTAGCTTCTTTTTTTTCTTTATTATGGGTTTTATTCTTTGTTTTTGTGAGTTTCTTTGTTTCAACTCCTAAAACTGTCATACACTAAATGCTTATAACTGTTTCATACTCTGCACATTATCATAAATACCATTATTATACTTTGTTTACTTTACATGTAGTTTTATTAAATATAGTTACTTCTACCTGAATTTGTCTGTCTGACCTTGTAAATTTTTTTCAAATAGACCAGGATTTATTAATCTAATACATAATGCCTGCAAGAAAACGTAGCTTAAATGCCATATGTGAAGATGATAGAATAAGGAAAATTCAAGTGAAGGTCATGAAAACTACTGCAATGTTTTGCAGGTTGAAGCTGGTAAAGAAATCCTCAATTGCCCCTAGTATGACAATTGTGACATTTGCTCTCTAAGTTTTCTCTCTTCTCTAATTTATTTACCATCCCTCCAAGAAGTGTGGAATTTAACTTGAATGAATGTAATTATTACTCAGGCAAAGCATAATTTTTATAGAGTTAAATTTTATTGGTTTATGGAACCGTAAATTAGAAAATTAGACCCAACTGCCACACCCACCTATCACATCCTCTCTTTCCCAAATTTCCAATAGTTCTCTCTGACCTTTTATACTATATTATTTATCACCAATAGAAAGCCAAAGTTTTAATTTATCAAATGGCATATTGTATTACATTGTTTTCTGTACAGTACATTATTTATTTCCTTTTTCAGCTCAGCTGAATTTTTAAATGCTCTTACATTATAGTTAGAAAGCAAGAAAAATTATGATAGTTATAACACATTGTTTGATTTTTACATATTTTTATTCTATGTTCTTAGGTGCAGTATTTAATTCAATAAAAACTCATTTATTGTGGTAGTACCATTAGTATAAAAATGTAGGCTTAAGTTTCATCGACAATCAACAGGAAAATTTAAAGACCCAGGTAAGTACTATATTTCTTGTTTTTCATGTGTATTCTTTATTTATTATTATAAAAGTAACTAAAATGTAAAAAAAAAATAGAAACTTATTATGTTAGATTAGGTAAAATAATGAAAAAAAACATGATAATAAAAACTCTTCACAAGGTATGCTTCTGAGCAACTAATTGAAAAAGTTTGTGAAGACACACAAGATATTAAAAATTATACTATGAAAACTATGGTCTTTTTGAGGTCATGTGGTCAGTGTAATCTACTTAGTCAGTAGTGAGAGAGTTAACAATCATGAAGACAGAAGGATTGAGATGTGTTTGGGTTCTGGAAAGTCCTGGAAATTTGCTCTGTATATGATCTGTATAAACACTAGTTAAGCTTTATATTTTCGTTTAGGGAGGTGTTTTATTATCGTCTTATAACAGCATTATCTTTCTTCACAATATATCTTTCACTTTGAACCCAGAATTGCTGTTATGGGTTTGTGGAGTCTTACAGCAATATTAATATTGATAATAATGAGCCACACTTTATAGATTTATGGCTTTTCCTACAGCAAATCAGAGTTGGACATTTTCCTTTTATCCTTAAGATAATTTTCAATTTTGATAACATTGGTACTTGATCATTTGTGTAAAATGTTTTTTTTAAATTTATCGAATCGAATAAGTAAGCCTAAGGGGACAGTTTCATTTTTAATGGAGCTTATGATTTAATATGTGGATGTTTGAACACAACTGTCTTCCAGTTTTTCATCACATATTTAAAGAAGAGTGTGATGGTGTATAATGCCTAAGCTTATGAAGCCTTACAAAAATTATATAAAATCATGTTTGACTACAGATATTCTCATTTCACTAATACAGTCCAAGATATCTAAAATTAGTATTTCAAATCTATGTTGTGTTTACTACAGGAACTCTGTTATTGAAAAAAAAAAAGGCCTTCTAGCAGTGACTTGATCTCTGGAGTGTTTGTTTTGATTAATGCAGCTGCTAGTTTATAACTGTATGTTAATTACATGAGTATTAAATTAATTTGTGGAATCTTTGTCTTAATGTATTTCAGATTGAGTCTTTACAAGCAAATAATGATTTTGCTAAGGAACAGTTGACGGCTATGAAAGGTATGACAATAAAAATAGTATTGTATTAGGTGTGAAAGGTATGCCAATAAAAATAGTATTCTATTAGGTATGAGAATATGACAATAAGCAACAGTATTGTATTAGGTGTGAGAAGTGTGACAATAAGAAATAATATCGTATTAGGTGTGAGAAGTGTGACAATAAGAAATAATATCGTATTAGGTGCGAGAGGTGTGACAATAAGAAATATTAGTTATGAAAGTCGTGATCACAAAAAGTAATAACACTAGCTTTCAAAGGTATTACAATGAAAATAAAATTGTGTTAGCTATAAGAAGTGAGGCAATAAAAAATATTATTGTATAAGTTATGAAAATTATGATGATAAAAATAGCATTATGCTAGATATAAAAACTGAATAATAAAATAGCATTTGCAGTAACTATGAAACAAATGATGATGAAGTATATCACCTGAGATTGAAAACTACTGTTTTATTACAGATAAAAAAAATCAGAGCTGCTTTCAAATGGTCTATGTAACTTTCTTAGACCATCTTATTTAAGAACCCCCAAAAATTTGTTTTTTTTTCAAAGTTCATAAATCTTGTTTCTCTCTAGGCTCTACATCCCATTGTCCTTATATCCTTTAACCGTATTGCCTCGGGTATCATTTACTGCGCATGACACAAGGTTTTTGTTTATGGTATACCAATTAGAAAAGTATAAAATCTTAGCTAATAATCTATATTTTAATGGTGTACAAGTTTTAAATTCTTAATTCTACAAGGCAATATTAAAAAAATCCTGAATTTCCATTAGTGTGACCCATGTGACACATTTTCTCTTGGCATGTCATCATCCCTATTTTATCCACCACCCCTGAAAAAGGTATGAAATTAAACATAAAATACTCTATAAAATAATTATTGCTCAAACAAACCTTAACTTTTATAGCCTTCAATTTTGTTTGGTTAGAGCTATTGAATAGAAAATCAGACCCCTCTTGCCACACCCACCTGTCACATTCTCTCTTTCAGAATTCGTTGATAGTTCTTTCTTACATTTCATTATATATTACCTATAATCAATAGAAGGTCAAGTTTTTCATCTATAAAATTACTTATTGTATAATGTTGTGTTCTGGCCACAGAATAGTCAGTTTCACTTGGAGCAACAGTTATTTAAGACTAGATTAGGTAAAATAAGTAATAATAATAATATAATTAAAATGGTTCACGAGGCACGCACGCGAGCAGCTTGTGGGAAATGTAATTCGATAGTGTAACATGAGCTACACGCTCCCCAAGTGATTTACAACTTATAATGGTGCGGATAGTAATTAGACATGGTTCAAAAGGGTAATAAAATTTAGTTATAAATAGATGTATGCTA